CAAAACTTATGGGACCAAACTATAACTAGTTGAAACATTTTTAAGTCTTCGGTAGAAAATGGTAGTGGACTACAAGTGTTGGGAATTTTGAGCACCACAATCCCAAGCAAACGGAAATGATAAAGAAATTGAAACAACAATTTAACGTGGTTCGACTTGTACACCTCTTAATAAGTCTACGTCCACGAGAAAGAGAAAAATAAATTCACTATTAAGAAATAGAATACAATAATTTAGAAGCCCTCTCACTCAATAAGCTCTCAACACCCTAGCTTCAATATATAGAAACTTCCAAATTCTCCCTAATACTCTCTTTTAATCTACACAAGAATTTCTCACAATTTCTCTTTTTTTTTTTTCTCTCACAAGAGCTGTCCCTCAATTTCTCTTGCTTGTCCATTGCCTTTGCATGCATGGGTATTTATAGTGAAAAATCCCAACCACCCATGCACCATTTTTCTTGCTCATTAAATGAGTCAACATGCAATCTTGCATGATTTCAACAAAGTAATCTAGACTTTGAAAACCTTTGGCAATGTTTCAAGAAAAAAGAAAGTTTGTGGAGGCAAAAGTCTAGAGCTAGTTGGATTAAAGATGGGGATGCAAACTCTCATTTCTTTCATAGAATAACAAATGGGAGAAGGCAGAGAAATATGATTCATGGTGTTGATGACAAAGGAACCTAGATTGATGATCCTGATCAGGTCAAGTTAATCATCTTGGACCACTTTAAAAATCAATTTTCCTCCCAACCTCAAAACCGACCATCCTTGGAGCATATGTTCTCTAACCGCTTATCAAGAAAGGACAAAGAAGTGTTGGAGGCTGAGTTTACTAATGAGGAAATCAAATAATCAGTCTTCTCTTGTGCAAGTGACAAAGCCCCTGGACCTGACGGTTTCAACTTCCACTTTATAAAGTCTGTATGGAACACTATTCAAGGAGATATCACTAACTTCATCAAAGAATTTCACAAGTATGGAAGGTTGGTCAGAGGTATCAATGCTTCATATATCACCCTTGTTCCCAAGAAGAAAAATCTCATGACTTTGAAAGAGTACAGGCCGGTTAGTATGGTTGGGAGCCTTTATAAAATTTTAGCTAAAGTTTTAGCTAATAGGCTACGGAAAGTCATTGGAAAGGTTATCAGCATAACCCAATTTGCTTTTCTAGAGGGAAGGCAGCTTATTGATAGTGTCTTGGCACTCAATGAACTGGTGCATGATTTAAAAAGAAGGAAGGAAATTGGCATCTTGTTTAAGGTAGACTTTGAAAAGGCTTTTGACTCAGTTGACTGGGATTACCTTGATTCTATGCAGTCTTCCTTGGGGTTCAGAGACAAATGGCGTGGGTGGATTCAAGAGTGCTTAACTTCTGCATCTGTTTCAATTCTTGTTAATGGGAGCCCCACGCAGGAATTCAAAATGCAAAAAGGGCTTAGGCAAGGTGACGCCCTTTCTCCTTACCTTTTTTTAATAGCTGCTGAAGGTCTGCATGCTCTTGTTCATGAAGCTGAAAAGAAAAATCTCCTTACTGGTATCGCTGTTGTTAGAGATTTATCTATTTCCCACCTCCAATTTGCTGATGACACTATTCTCCTTGGGGAAGCTTCTCTTAAGTCAATCAGAGCATTCAAGTTTATCCTTAGATGGTTTGAAATTATCTCAGGGCTTAAAATAAGCTTTAGCAAAAGTACCTTGTATGGTATTAATATTGAGGAGAATTGGCTTAATATGGCTGCCTCTACCCTTAATTCAAAGTGTGGGCACCTGCCTTTCCTTTACTTGGGATTCCCTGTTGGTGGCAACCCTCAACATCTTAGATTCTGGAAACTAATGGTTGAGAAGTTCCGGTCTAAGTTGGCAACCTAGAAGGGAAAGCTCTTATCATTTGGAGGACGCATCACACTCCTCACGTTGGTACTTTCGGCTTTCCCTCTTTTTTACTTTTCTATTTTTAAGGTCCCTAAAGGTGTTGTTAGTGAGTTAGAGAAAATACAAAAAAAACTTTTTGTGGGGGAGTTCAAACGGCTATAACAAGATTGCTTGGGTTAATTGGGGGAGAGTTTGCCTTGCGAAATCAAAGGAAGGGCTTGGCATCCCAAACCTTTCTATTAGGAATTCTGCTTTACTAGGAAAATGGTGGAATAATTTTTATGATGCTGGAGGAAATGAGAAATTATGGAAAAAAATTATTGTTAGAAAATATTATGATGGAGTTTCTTCTACTTCTATTTCTAACACT